AATAAATAAATAAATATTGATTTTCTTCCTGCTCAGTTAATGTATTTCTTGAAGGAGTTTGAAGAAAGAAACATCGCAATATTAGTATAAAATATTGACTTCGTTAAAATGGAAATTTTGATATACTAAGCTAGTTTTAATCATATGCAAATATTGATGCAGAAAATACAGATCAGGGGAGCATCCCAAGAAGGGTAGCCTTCAAAAACATTGCTGATAAATTGATTATAAGGGAATTGATCTAAGGGAAAAAGATTCATGCAAAATCAGTAAATTTTGGTGAAGAGGAATGGAAAAGACAAGAACTTTATTTTTTTTTTCACTAAACCAGAGAGATCCCCAAATTCTTCAGCTCATCAACCCCTTTATGACGTCTCAAATTGTTCATTGACCTTCAAACATTTATTATATGAAAATAATTTAATACAGGTAGTCCTCGACTTATGACTATAATTGAGCCCACATTTCTTGTTGCTAAGTGAGACCTTTGTCAGAAGGTTGCAAAAGGGGTTCACGTGATATGGGGACACTGCAACATTCATAAATATGAACCAGTTGCCAAGCATCCAAATCTTGGTCACATGACCATGAGGACGCTAAAATGGTCATAAGTGTGAAAAATGGTCATAAGTCACTTTTTTCAATGATGCTGTAACTTTGAACGGTCACTAAATGAAATGTTGTAAGTTGAGGACTACCTGTATTATTTTAACTAATGGTACTATGAATAACAACTACACAGAATCCTATTGACCCTTGTGGTTTGATATTGACCACTTTGGAGAACAAGGCACTAAACTTCACCACAACAGCTGGCACAATCTTGCAGAGCTTGTATGGCCAAACCTGGTTGAAACTTGGATAAAAATGATTATAAAAACCCTAGAGCTACAGGAAAGATCAGGAAGTCAATCCTCCCAAAAAAGGCTATAGTGAACTGAACTATTGTCAAGAAAATCTCATGGATGTTATCTGTGTAGCCACTGGAAATCAAATTCAACTTATGGAAGGTATTACTTATATCATTAGCTATAATAATAATAATAAAAAACCATCCTGTTTGGTATTCATCATCTATAAGTTTCAGCGATTTTTTTCTCAGTGGCCAGCAGCATGATGTATTCCTGAAAATGAATATCTCGCCGAACAAATATTGTATTGATCAGTTGAAAAAAAAACCCAAATGAAATGAAATCATATTGTAAAACCATAATTGAAGATTGAAGATAAATCTCTCTTACATTATTGTAGTAATGCCCTTACTCAAAATGAATTGCAAGCACTCGTCGAATATTGTATAAGGTAAAATTAGCAGGATCTTGATCAATTCTCCTCCCCCCACCCACCCACCCCACCCCCAAAAGAGGATAGCTTAGAAAGCAAATTAAAAAATGACAATCCAGTAGAGGTACATAAATCTATTTTTGGCATGACAGGGTGCATAAAGAAAATTATTATTTCCCTCTCCCTATGTTAGAGTTTAAGTTTACCAGTCCAGCCTAAATGCTGGAAGATTAAAGTCTGATAAAAGGAAGTACTTTACACAGTGTATAGTTAAAATTCTGGAAATTGTTGCCAGGAGATGCTGTGATAAGAAATGTGTATGAATTTTTAAAGGGTAATAAATACAGTATATATGGCTTGCAGTACAAGCATGAGTAAACCCCAGGAATCTTAACAATAACAAACCTTGAATGATGGCCAGTAGGATAACAATGACAAAGAAGAAAAACGTGATATCAAAAACAATTCGATATATTTCATAAGGGTCTCCTGCAGGGTCTTCAATTTCATCTCCAATACCTCCACCTGCTCGTACCCCGACATACATATGGAACAGGTAACACTAAAAAGTAGAATTTAGCACAGTTTATGAAAAATAATCAAGCCACCTTGAATTAAAAGACATTTTAAAGGCCATTATTTTTATATCATATATTAGAAGTTGGGACAAATCTCACAACATTTAAAATATAATGCAGAAATGCTAAGATTAAAATTCAGTATCATTACCTTACACTACATGCATTTATTTCAATGCAGCTTGCATATGAAAAATTCAAGTGGTTCTGCTAAATTTTGAAATACTGCAACAGAGAACATTCTATTGTGTATTTTCTATAGTAAATCCAAACTGCTTTCTTGCTACCTTTTGCTATGTGATATTTTAATAGCCTGCTTTTAATTGAGAAAGTATATTGTATTTACATTTGTTTTTAATTAATTTTTTTCCCTGGAAAAACAGATGAGGGCAGTTTTGGTTTTCTTATATATTTCTGGTCTTGAGAATATTATCAATTACCAGCTGAGTCTGAGGGGACATTCCTGTGCATGTATGCCCACACAAACTTTTGTGTACCAAACATACAGTATATGTGCAGTTCCCAGTCTTCTACGGCCTCACTATACTTTGTTTTCCTCAGCACAGGGGTAACTTCCCACCCTATCCCACTCACATAGCTATGTATACATCTTATATACATATCTGGAAAAAAAAATTGTAAGATAACTAAAAATTTATTGAAGAAATAATAAAATGAAACCTAAAAATTTAAGCTATTGGTGAACTATGCACCACTCAAAGGAGATTTAAGGTGTTCTGATATCAAGGTATATTATATTTAACTCTTTGACCCTCACTTGGTTGCCACTGGGTTGTTCGAAGGAAAGCACCTACTCTAATGGTATGTGGAAGTGACCCTGAGGAATGAGGGAAAGAGATGCTGCCTAGGGAACGATCAGATAAAAGAGGGAGGAGTCCACATCTGCTTAATGGACCAAGAAAGAAACTTAAAAAGGATCTGCCCGAATAAATCAGCCTGTTAAAAATGTCAGCGGGAGATCTGTGTTTTCAGACTTGCAAGATTCTGTTAATATAGCCTTACAATAAAGTAGAATTAGTCCATATGGTTGTGTTTATTGTTTGGTTTACCTAGGAGAGCTGAAATATCCCAAAGGATGTCCCCAGGAGGCACAGTGCATGCTAAGGGCCATAGGAAAAATCAGGAACAAACAGGTTTTCAGCGAATGAGCTTCAAGAAAGCATTAAGTTTAGATAATTCAAAAAGTTACTTGTATAATGTGGCCTAGTACTGTAGATAATATAAACATATATTAGACTCTGATTAATTGGAATATTGTAGCACCAAGGATTATAATTCCAATCTGTAGCTTGTATTGGAGGATTTCCTGTAGCTTTCTTGCTAGCGACACTGATCTTCACACTCATATCCACACATAGTTGCTCCGGTACTTACAGTCATCATATCGTCACATTTCATGTCTGGCTCATCCTCATCTTCACTCTTGTTATAAAATTTCCGGAAGAAATTAAATGCAACAACCGTGTACAGATATACCACCACAGCCAAGAGTCCAACCGTCAACACGAGCTACAATATATGCAGTGCAAAATAAATGATGAATGGATATGTAGAGAAGGAACAACAATTAAACAGTTAACTCCTTCCCTACAATGTAAAAGATACTGAATTCCTTTAACTACGAGGCAGAAGTATTTTGACTATTAGGTCACTCAAATGATATTAATCCAACCGAGATTTGAGTTTACACTGCTGCATTGAACTGCTTAACCCAATCTAGGTACTTTTACGCTTTTCCAACTGCTTGTTTGTCTTTCAAATCTTCTTATACCGTGGACCACCGTTCCATTGTATTTCTCTATGCAACAACCATATTTACGCTTTCATAATATCTACCCGAAAAGGGAAAACCAGAGGCAACTAAACTATTGATTCAAAAGATCACAAGCTGTCCATAAAACTTTAGCATTTACGTGCTCCAGGGCTAAGGGAGTAGATACTTCCAGAAAACTAGGAACACATATGCAAATGACATATAAAACATTGCAAAATATTTTTCATTAAATATGTGTGTGTGTGTGTGGGGGGGAAATCCATAGAGCTGATTGTCAATTTCAGGTTACTCCTGCTAAATCACAGCTTGCTTGAAGCATACATTTGCAAAGCACTTGAAAAGCTTGATTTGTAACACCCAGGAGCATGAGCAAAGCACCTGTCTACAGCTGCTTCCGAAGTTGCTCCAAGCTGTTGCCCTGTGATTATGCAGCAACTCTTTTGAATGCTTTGTACAAATAATCTAAATAAATGATATTTTGGTACTTATATTAAGCAGAACAGAGAGTTCTGTTGTTTCACAACGTCGGGAATGCTTATTACTGTGCCAACCCAGAAACCTAGCTTATATAGCAAAGAAGTATCTCAGTAGCTCTCCTGTGGAAAAGAATGGCTCTTATGTAGAGCTTTGGTTCACCAGGTTTAATAATCTAGCCACGTAGCGATGCATGGAACAATTGGCCTTCCTCTTCAACCTTCAAATGCTGAACAGTATAGAGAGAAGCTATAGCCGTGCTTGACTGAACACGTTTATACGCTTTGTCAATTGGATTTGTGAGATTTTAAGAAGGAAAAGAAGGAACACACAGCTTTAGGGTGCTACCCTGGCCTTTGCCTCAGTGGTCACATTATGAAGAGGAGATGTTTTCTAAGTAGAAAGGGCAAATAGATTTTTCTGAACAAACGAGACTAGGTAGATTCTTACCTGAATTAAAGTTGATTCGTGAATAATGCAAAATGATATAAAATGGATTAGTATAAAAATATAGTTATTTGTGAGGGCTCTACCTGTCTGATCACCTGTGGTGAGGATCGTATCGTTGTTTTGATCAACTTGTATGTACTCTCCTGGATTAACTAGTTGATTTTGCATGTAGGAATTTCCACATATCGGATGTTTCAGGAGTATAACTCTGGTTGTTTAGTGGAAAAGCAGATAATTCAGCACTGACCTCTACTACAGCATTATTCAGTTGCCAGGCTTTGCATATTTTAACCACAAAATGGAATGATAGGCTAATTTCATTAAAGGATCAAAACACCACTGCACTTCTAACTAGAGCTGTCAAATGAAAGCATCTTTATGGGGCTTTCTTCTCTCTCCAATATGGAATACAAAATCATAAAATGGGACGTGGGGATTTAGACAATTCTATTCCTTGCTCTGTGCAAAATCCAAATTAAAGCATCCCCAGCAGATGTCTAAACACATACAATGAAGGAGAGCTTATCATCTTCTTGCGTAATTATTTCAATCTGAATGTCTTCCTGCAACTTGAAATTATTAGTTCCATTTTCTGCACAATAGGTATTCTCTTTCAAAGGTTAAACATCCCTAACTTTTTCAGTTTCTCTCCATAATGCATGCATCCTGATCATCTTTGTCACCCTGTTCCAGTTTCTCTGAATTCTCCTTTATGAACAAAATACTTAAGGGGAGGGGTGGGGTTTAAATGAAATTAGAATAAATGCTATTATCAAGCCAGATAGCCCTCATTCTACACCAGGGAATTTGATTTCATATGAAACTTTATATTTATTACATTTTATTTCTATTTTTAGTCTTTTTAATTATCCCACCAATAATTTGTCACTCACATTTTTTCAACTTTCTCTCTGCATCCTGCATTCACAGAGTTGAAAGGGGCCATTTAGACTAGGGTCCCTAACTCCCAGGCAACAGATCAGGACCTGTTAGGAACTGGGCCTCACAGCTGGAGGTGTGTGGTGGACGAGCGAGCAAAATTGAAACTGTCCTCCCCCAGTCCGTGGAAAAACTGTCTTCCACAAAACGGTCCTTGGTCCCAAAAAGGTTGGGGATCACTGTTTAAACCATACAGTCCAATCCTTTTCTTAGTATAGGTAAGAATTAAAAGTAAAGCAATCCAAGCAAAACTGCGGTGACTTGTAAAGGTCATTTTTCTTCGGGTAAAACGGTACATCAAGGTGACGGTTTGACGAAAAAGATAAAGTTAAAAGAAAAGGTTGCAAGTCAACATTAGAAATAAACGTAAGTGGAGGAAAAACGTCGTCGTAGTGTGACGACAGTATAAGGTTCCAGAAGAAACTTTTATGAAAATGGTTCAATTCATTCGTATATTTCATTTTTGTTTACTATGTGAAGTATTTCAGCTATCTCTGTTAATTTTCATTCTATTACTTGCAGACCATTTCTCCACCCCATCTAGAATGTTTTCAAATTTATTGCTATCTACTATGGTACTGGATATCCCACCCAATTTTGTATCATCTTCAAATTTAATAAGAATTCCCTCCATCTCATCATTCAATGAGCCATTACATTTTGAATACAGGAACCAGGACTGATTCTGGTCCCTTTTGGTATACATACAATCCCACACAGGACAATGTAAGGAGGAACCACTGATGAACACTGTGAGTGCAATTCTTGACCCAGATATATATCCAGTTAATATCCTTGCATTCAGAATGTTATGCAATATTATTATTACTATTATTATGGTTGGTTGCACAGTCAGATATTTAGATCGGATATGGCGTTTTTATTCACCTATCAAGTCAGCACCAGATAAAAATAATTGCAGAGTTTTGCTTGAAACATCCAATTGGCTTACACCCATTCATTGCCAAGAGCTTTTACTTGTTAACATTTTGCTTACTTTGTGTAATTGAAATATTGAGCATAACAGCTGAACATATTTGAAATGGGTTATTCTTAACTGGACCAGAAGAATTGATGAGAATGCTACTTCAGACCCTCTCATCAACCAAGCCATCTTGAGCTTCTTTTCAATATGTTCAAAGTCTGCTGTTTATTTTTATTGCCTTATTATTTTTACAAATAACTCACATTTGTATGAACATATCCAACACATATTCCTCCTCCTATTTTCTCCACAATAACCCTGAAAGGTGAGCTGGGTTGAGTGAGTGACTGGTCCCAAGTCATTCTGTTGGCTTTCATTCTTAAGGTGGGACCAGAACTCACAGCCTCCCAATTTCCAGACTGGTGCCTTAACAACTAGACCAAACTAGGGATTTAAGAATTTAGGAATTCACCATTCATCCTCCTGTTCTGCAGTGCCTTTTTTCCCTTCTCTGAACACTCAGAATTTGTTTTATACCTGAAAAAGATAACTAAAAATTTGCTAACAGCCAGGCAAAATTTCTTCTGTGTATTTCTGTGTACCCTTATCCACTGCACCTGCTCCTCTGACTGTCTGGCTTTCTCATCAACTGAAGCATGTCCACTCATGGCACAAGTCCTTTACCTTTTATTTCAACCAGTTTGCATTTACTGAAAATACATTTCAAGTTGTTTTAAGGAAGGAGGGCAACCAACATCCTTGTATTCATTTTTTTTCCTTCTTGAGGCACTTCAAGTAGGAAGGCTTTTTGTTCTTTTCTTGATTTTTAGGGACATCTCCTCAAACATCTCTGTTTAACTCCCAAGACACTTATTATCTTTCCATATTGGCTTGCTGAGAGGCTTGCTTCCTTGAGCCAGGCAGCTTTACATTAAATTCAAAAAGGAATGAGACACCCACTCACTATCAATCAACTTTCAGGTCCATCACTCCTTGCCATCAGTTGCTCTTCAAAACATGATATTTGCAGACCCACAACTCAGCACGTAATCCTTCAGAAGACACTGCTTCTTTATTCACTCTTCTCTTTTCCTGGTTTTTGAACTCTTCAGAGTTAACAGCTCTTTCTGTTCACTCTGATTTTATCCAAGTCATTAAATGTTGAAGATCCAGAACTGAATACTCCACTCAATAACTCACTCTAGGCTGATGAGTGTTAGTCTGATGAACTTTCAATTTGAGCTTCAAGCTATTTATCCTGTTAATTGTCATGCCATGCAGCCTACACTAATCAGAAAGTCATAAAGTCATTTTTCAAATGCTTTGCTGAAATCAAGACACATTATACTTACAATATTCCCACAATATACTAAACAAGTTATTCAATCAAGAAAGTAGGATAAGGATCCTTAACAAGACTTTGTCATGGTAACTATGCTAGCTTCTTGGCAATTAAGAAAGCTCTTGTAAATCTTTCCTGGAGGATCATGCTTAGCAGAATTAATCACCAAGCAGATGTCAGGGCAATACATATTCCCCATCACTACTACGCCATGCTGCTTTGAAAAATCTGCAGTTTAATTCTGTAAAACCTCACTTCTTGGTTTAATAGGAGATACCATTTGAGCAGAAATAAGTGCAGTGTCATCTCATTCCCTTTTTATTGCTTCTTTCATTTGGTATAAATTGTAATTAAGAGCTAATAAATAATTGATATTAGATAAGTATGCTTTATTGCAGCCAAAAGCCAACAGGTTAAAATAATTTATAGGGGCAGGGGCCAGGCACAATTGATTGACTGATTATCTGTCATGAAATTGTTTTTGACTCCTAAAAACCACATAGATTTACTCCAAGATGATCTATTCCTAACCTTTTCTATCATATCTTCCTATACTGCACTCACTGCCTCTGCAACTGTGTCCCTCCCTTTTGTCGTCCTCTTCTCGTTCCTTTTCCAGTATTAGAGCCTTTTCCAGATAACTGGAAAACGTATTACACATACTTTATCTATTTAAACTTGGACCAGTAAACAAGGAACTCATCCTTAAGGCTCAACTAGATAAGTTACAAGGTAGTAAACAAAAGAACCGCAGGTGTTATAAAAGTCCTTAAGTTTTCGTATTTATAAAAAATTTGGGGTAGAAAACGAAGGTGTCTCACAGTGTCCCTTACGGAATCTAACGATAATTCTGATCTTTGAAGGGGCAGTTCCATCATGGCATTTGAATATCTTTTTCAAGAACTTCATGGCTGCTCTACTGAGTGCTAGTCTATGGCATATTTCTTAACTGCTGATTCATTTACTGTTGAAAGTTGGTACTAAAAGGCAGAACCTATCCACTACTTTGATATTTTCATTGTCAATTTAAGGCTGGTTATTCTATCTGTCCTCATTAATATGGTCTTCTTTAAATTTAGTCACAAAGTTTTCACTATGCTCTTTGACTTTTACATTTTTGGCTGTCAAGGTAGTGTCATTAGATAGCGCAGGTTATTGATGCTTCTTCCTCCAATTTAAAACTACACTAATCTTCTTCCAATCCAACTTCCCCTTATATTGGACAACCATTTATCTGAAATGGTATAGGGTTTCCTCCCTAAACAGGAGGTTGGACTAGAAGACCTTCAAGGTCCCTTCCACCTCTGTTATAAATATTCAGCATATAAATAAATATAAATATATAAATATAAATATTCTGTAGATAAATTTCCTATGAGAACAATGAGATATTCTGGGATTCCCATGTTTCTGAGCACATTCCACAGCTTGATATGATTGATACAAAGGCTTTTCTGTAGATGAAGCACTTACTAAATTCTTCTTGGCATCTGTTGGCTTTTTTCAACATTCATTGTGTTCCTTGTGTTTTCTAGAGCCAGTCTGAACATCTGACATCTCTTTTTTCACCTATGGCTCTAATCTGTGTTGGATGATCGTAAGAATTATTTTGCTAGCCTGTGAAATTAAGGATATTGTGCGATAGTTTGCACACTCTATTAAGTCTCCTTTTTAGTATTGAAATATTAGATAGACCTCTTTCAATCAGCTGGCCGGTATGTATTTCTACAAATTTGTTGGCATAGTGACTTGGAAACTTGGCTGATTTATCTTCTGTTGCTTGCCATATTTCAGTAGGTATTCTATCGCTTTCTGTAGCTTTTCACCTAGGTAATAATTGGAGTGCTGCCTGAAATTAATTTTCTAGGACTACAGGTTCTCATAAGTAAGGAATATCTTCTAAGGTATCTTGGATGTCTTCAAGATGTCTCCAAAAGATCCTTAGCTCTTCCTCAGTAGCACCTTGAGTGTAATCTGACCTAAAGAACCCATCATCCAGCATTATATTGTCAACCATTTTATATTTCTATCCATTGGTTTTACTGGTAAAAATACTGGAAAGGATTACCGTTGTTTTCTCCCATACTGTATGAACTGACACCTTTGCTATTGTCATTAAAATGATCATCTTTCTGCTGCATCTTTCTGTGGCCCAATGTAGGTGGCAGCTGGGATGACCGACCTACTTTTGGTGACCCTGCTGAAAATCAATACTCTTGTCATACTCTCCAACATTCTTCATTCACACCTCCCAGAATATCTCCCCCCTTTATAATGAGGCAGCACAGTAGGACTTGGGGTGGGGCAAGTACAATTGAATACAGAATAAAATAAAGTGCAGAATTTAAAAACCCACTAATATAAGTTCTGTGTTTTTTTTAAAAAAGAATAATTGAGTATCTATATAAATAAAAATGTAAATGTTCGTTTGTTCAAAATCTTAAATCTCCGAAAGTTCTTCACCGATTGCTTTGAAATTTTGACACAACGTTGCATTCGAATACGCACGTGTTTCTATATACCTATATTATATAGATGTCACACCTGTGACAGGTAAAAACATGCTTTTTTTGAAAAACAGCGCCATCTGTTGGACGTAAAAAGATACCCACAAGCATTGTGAAATTAAACATATTACAAACGTGTGCTTTCTCTTTTTTTTCTTTTCCACTTAACCAGACTGAGCCACAGCAACGCGTGGCCAGGTACAGCTAGTAATAACTAAAAAAAGGATATACTACAAATGATATAGTAGATAAATTCCAACGTTCACTTTTTCCTAATGTGCTACCAGCAGCCCTTACCTTTGTGCTTTCTTTTCTTTTTATCCTGCCTGAACCTTTTAACTCGGTAACTTCAAGTTTTAAACCTACCTAAAACTGATATTTCAAAACAGTCTGGAAATATTTTGCATATTTTCATTTTGTTAACTGCTCACTGAAAAAGAAGAAATGAGCACACTCAAACTTGGGATGTTCAAACCTTAGTCCAGGCACAAAAGAACTGAAGGTAGAGGCCTTTTCTGGCTCTGTGGAGTTGATATAATCAGAAACAGCCATTACATACCAATTGGCTAAAGAAATACAATCACAACTGAGCCCCAAATTTCTGTTGCTAAGCAAGACAGTTGTTAAGTGAATTTTGCCCCATTTTATGACCTCTCTTCTCACAGTTGTTAAGTGAATCACTGCAGCTATTAAATGAGTAGCAGTATTGTTAAGTATATTTGGCTTCCCCATTGACTTTGCTTGTCAGAAGGTCACAAAAGGAGATCACATGACCTTGGGACACTGCAACCATCATAAATATGAGTCAGTTGCCAAGAGTTGAATTTTGAGCACGTGACCACGAGGATGCTGCAGTGATCGTAAGTGTGAAAACGGTCATGAATCACTTTTTTCAGTGTTGTTGTAACTTCGAACAGTCACTAAATGAACTATTTTAAGTCGAGGACAACCTGTATTGAAATGGTTCAGTACTTAAGAACTATTGAGAGATAATAAATTGCAGTAGAAATAGATTTAAGTGCTGTTGCTTCGACAAAGCATACTGTATGGAATGGGCAGAAAAGTATATAAAATTAATAATTTGTACTCCTTCAAGGAGACAGAAAAATACATTTTTTTAACAGATTAGGATTCTTGGGTTAAATAATTAAAGGTACAGTCTGCCGAACCACATTTCATTTGATATGAAAGTTTCCTTTTTGAAACACAGTCATAGAAATACGATTGAAGCAACAAAAAGAGTGGGATCTCAGTTGTGGAAGTTAATTTTGAATGTTCAAATTACTGTAGTGTTTGCTCTGTCTTGATTTTAGCAAAATTTATGACAACATGATTCTCCATCTAGAAGAGAACTCTAAAAACTTCAGAAGAAATTACAATGCAGCCATTTCTAAATCATATAAATATGTGAAATTTTGAGAATAGTTTTTATATAATGCATAGAAAATTTTTAATTCAGCTAATTATGTAATCAAAAAGTGTAACTATTTTATATTTACTTATGGTAAATATTTTTGTTGTTACTAATATTATTATTATAATGAAAAAATGCCTCTTTTCCAAAGTTAAGATATATAGCACATGAAACTTTGTGAAAAAAATCTATTACTATTACCGTATTTTGAACTGGTAAAAATAACATTCTGCACATTGAAACATAGTATGAGCAAGCTAGTCTTCATTATGCTACTTTTTTGTAATTCATTTTTTAAAAAGTAGAATTCAGAATTTTGATTTTTCCCATTTGCTTTTTTTTATAATATAACAGAGATATAGATTCATAAGTAGCTAGTGATTTATTAATATTCCTCATTCATTTTATCACTCTGTATGTTTAAATTATAGCATAATTTTTCATCACAGTTTAACCATTTTGAAAAAGCATTCTTTCTGGTCTTAGTCACAGCCAATTAAATGATATTTCAATTTTAGTAACAATTGTACAATAAGACATGAAATTATATTATCAGTAACTAACCTGTTTGCCATTGTGAGTTACAGATGACAGAATGGTACGTAAAGTCTTAAAACCCATAGCTATATCGAGCAAATGAGCAGCGAAGAAGAAGTTGTTGTAGTGGCCAAGAATGGACATGGTTGTATACCAAGCTAAGTACAAGAAAGACTAAAGAAAATGTTAAATGTCAGAGAACCACTGCTATTTTTCTCATTGCATTATACTCTTTCTTATTATTACATTTCATTTAGAAAATACTATTGTGTTAAGTAATAAAATGCCTACAAAGGGGCTTATATACCTCAATAACAAAAAAATTGAATCCTCCTAGATTATATTAATACTAATATTAGGCTTGGCAACTGTTACATAAATGATTAACCAACGACACAAGACTATTGTGGAAGAGACAAGTGTGCATTACATTCTTCTTAAGATATGCATATGATATAGAGTGCTTTGTGCAAATAGAAATAACTACATGAGCTAGTCCTCTTTTCTCAGGATAGGATCTAGCCATAAGCCAAACAATATGGAGGAGCCTTGATGCTTATGGACATGTCTTCTGTCTATATCCTTGCCATATTCCTTCACCTCTCATGGCTTTTGTTTTTGCAGTCTTCATTAATACATCAAGGTAAATGGAAAGAAGAATGTGAAAATTCATATAACTGCTATTCCTAAGTTTGACTTGATAGTTTAAAAAGTATACAAGGCTGCTTGTTAAGACTACAGGGTATTTCAGGCAAGAAAACTATGCAGAAGCACATCTTAGTTAAATCATTATATAATGTCACAGAATATGAAATACAACCAATTTATCACATACACAATAATAAACAATTTTGCAAAACTGAAATAGGTTGGATATTAGAACAAATCAGTAGCTTGCTCATATTAGATTATTTATGATTAATTATTGCTATTATTATCAATACACAATCATCCTTTTAATTCTGGCTTTGTTGCCATAGTGAAAATAGAACTTCTATCCTCATCTAAAAAAAAACATTTCCATAACTGATATATTTAATTAATTATATTTCTCCTCCTATTTAATTGATTTCATATATTTTCTTCATTTCCCTCAAAAATTGAATAGAATTTATAAGGATGATATCTATCATTTGGATATTTATGCTTGTAGGCTTAAATTCATATTAAAGCTGTGCATATTGTAAGAGAGAATGCATGAGTACGAGGCTTGTTTCCTTTAAGAAGAATAATGAAGCAAAGGATTTTTTTTAAAAAAAAAATTAAAGTACTGTTAACTTACATTATCAGTGAAAACTACACCAAGTTTCCAGATTTGATATTTTGCATCAATAGAACTTAACCTAGTAATATACAAAATAACTTGAAATTAATTAAGGTATTTATTCATTAACAAATTAAAATATAAGCTTTTTTTCCATTTGTTAGGCTTTCTTCTTGATAGTATGTCCACTGAAATGTTTCAGAATTTTGTGGAGGTTTAGTAGATATATTTTTGAAACAAACATTTCAGCAATAAAAATGACTTTTAGATGAATGATAACATTATGTTTGAACAATGTAACATATATACTAACAGAAGTTTCAGCTCTCCAAGATCTGGTCCTTTATGTAGTCAGGGAGACATCATTCAATATAATAGGAAAGTATCAGCGGACTTAAGAGAATCGTCAGAATTTGAGTAATACAAAATCTTCAATAAACAATCTCAGAGGAGAAATTTCTAAAACAAGTCAATGAAGTTCATATTCTGAGGAGAATTGGAATGCTTATGGAAAGGAGAAAAATAGAAAACTGAGGAGGAGGGGAAATGGCATGTGTTTTCCTGACAGGAACACAGAGAAGCTATTGTCTGCAGTGCAATTTGGGCCTAATGATCTATTCTCTTATACCTCCTCCAAATTAAAACTGTATGTCAAAGTAATGAAGCTAAAAGAAGAAATCAGGTATCTTATGTGCCAGTTACATGCTATTATTTAAGTTGATTGATCTCTTTAGCTTACTTACAATATTATAAATGGTAGGCATAAGTACTTCAGCTCCAGTGTATATTTATAAAGCCTTAGTAAGGCCACATCTGGAATAATGCATCCAGTTTTGGTCACCACATTACAAAAAAGATGTTGAGACTTTGGAAAAAGTGCAAAGAAGAGAAACTACGATTATTAAAGGCCTGGAGACTAAAACATATGAAAAACGGTTGCAGGATTTGGGAATGGGCAGTCTAGAGAAAAAGGACTAGGGGGGGACATGATAGCAGTATTCCAATATCTGAGAGGCTGCCACAAGGAAAAGGGGGTCAATTTATTTTCCAAAGCACAAGAAGGCAAGACAAGAAACAATGGATGGAAACTAATCAATGAAAGAAGCAACCTGGAATTAAGGAGGAACTTCCTAACAGTAAGGACAATTAACCAGTAGAACAGCTTGCCTGTTCATCACTCAAGGTTTTTAAGAAGAGATTGGACAGCCAATTGTCTAAAATGATATAGGGACTTCTATTCTATTCTATTCTATTCTATTCTATTCTATTCTATTCTATTCTATTCTATTCTACAACTACAACAAAATCTGTGTTCCCATTCACATGTGATGATTTTGTAATAACATTGTAATGAATCAGGCCAGCTCTCTGCTTTCAAGGTAATATTACACTCCCATCTAGACTATATCTCCCTAATCTTTCTCAAAGCAATTTTGGTCAAAAGAAATTGGATAAAAATAATTAGTCACTCATGTATAGTGATATGCTCGCAAGTGACAATCCATGTTTAAACTCCATTATATTGTGCAATCTGTGAGTGATTATAACTTATTGTGTTATACTACAAACTCAAAACAAAGATGCCCAATAATCTAGCATTTAATTGCTAGATTATTGGGAAACGGCATTGGTCACGGAAACGGCATTGGTCACGTTGGTAAATGATCTCTGGAGGGCCCGGGACAGAGGCCACTCCTCTGTCCTTGTTCTTTTGGACCTCTCAGCGGCTTTTGATACCGTGGACCACGGTATCATGCTGCGACGGTTGGGTGGATTGGGAGTGGGAGGCACTGTTATGCGGTGGTTCTCCTCCTTCCTCACCGACCGTACGCAGTCTGTATTGGCAGGGGGACAGAGGTCGACCCCAAGGCCCCTAACTTGTGGGGTCCCACAAGGGTCGGTCCTCTCTCCCCTTTTGTTCAATATTTATGTGAAGCCGCTGGGAGAGATCATTCGTGGCTTTGGGGTGGATT